AAACCTCCCATTCTGCTTTCCAGGAGGGGCAGGTCTCACCTCTCTCTCCCTTTTCTCTCTCCCCTTATGCCAAGGCCCCAGAGGCAGAGGCACAGGACCACTTGAAGGAGGGGAAAGCCACAAGCAGACACAAGTCTAGGAAGGAAAAGCCAGACTCCCCCCAGAGCCTGAAAAGTCTCCGGCATCACTCCCCAAAAACACCCCGAAGTTCACCTGAACCAATGAAAAGCCGACTAAAGAGGGACTCAACCCTCGAGAGACCTGCCAGGTGAGCTGCAGGGGAGGAGGTGATCCCTGTGCTTCACGCTCATCTTGCCAAACGAGGTCCATCGTCCTCAGCTCCGCAGTGACCCTCTGCCAGTGCCTCCATGGGATGGCGAGTGCACAGCCCTCCTCCTTGTCTCGTTTGCCCCTTAGCAATGTCTGAAGCTTCCCTTTTAACTGCCAGGCTGAGAAGGTTCCGCTGGATCGTTCCTGCCCACGGCGAGGTGGAACTGAAGATCCGCTTCAGCCCCACAGTGCCAGGGCAGTTTGACCAGCTGATGAACTTTGAGATCCTGGGGTCAAAGCGCCTGTACCAGTTACCCTGCAGTGCCACTGCCCTGTACCCCAGCATCAGCCAGAACCCATGGTAAGGCTGGGCCACAGGAGCATCCCACACTGCACCCCCTGACCTCAGAGCCAGGGCTGCCCCTTGTGACCTCCTGGCTGGGGCAGATGGTGCTGCCTGAGTCACCCAGCATCTCTTCCTCTGCTGGGAGCTGGGAGGCTGAACTGGTACCTCAGCCACCGAGAAGGGTGATGGCTTTCTGACTAGATTTCCTACTTGCAGCATCTCAGAGCTCCTCATTCCTCATTATTTCTCTGCCCAGGCTGGTGTTTCCTCACTGGAGGAAGAGCAAGGAGAAGGAGGACATCATCTCCAAGGAATATGTCATGAGCACAAAGCAGTTCCACTTTGGACCGCTGCTTTGTGGCAAGTCAAGAGAGTGGTATGTGCTCCCTGCTCCCAAGTGGGCATCCCTGTGTGCTGCCTGTACCGAGATGTTGGGAGGGGATCTCCAGGGCCTTGTGCTCTCCTGGACACACTTGCAGACCCACTGTCCCAGTGGCACAATGCAGGGCAGTCCCGGGCAGAGACCTGGCAGACACATGGGCTTGAGGGAGCACAGATGTGTGAGCATGAGCAGATAACAGGCAAATGAGCCTTGGAGGAGCTGCTTTGCCAACCTGGTGGGTGCCCTGGTGTCCAGAGCCACCAGAGCTGCTGCTGCCAGCCCGAAGGTGACTTGGGGGCAACCGGTGTCCCCCTCCACATCTCAGCTCCACCCCTTAGGAAATGAAGTTTATGGTGCTTTTTCAAGTGCTTTGAGCTCTACAGGTAGACTAAACGAGCAAGTATTCTCTAGATGGTTTTGTAAACCTTTCATTAATCTCTAATAGTAGTGAGGTTTTGTGATTTGACCTGCCAATATGTGTGTGAGTCAGAGGGGAACCTACAGCAGGAATTACGTTTTCCCGAGATTCCATTGCATCCGCAGTGCTGGAAAAAGTCTGCCTAAAAATATTGTCATTGTAGCTGTTGGCATATTTCTGTTTTTAATGTCACTCTTCTTTTTATTTTTTTAATAATATTTGAAGTTAAGTTCTTGTCTCCATGGGAGCTCTGGAAGGCCAGGCTGATGGATGGTCTGGGATTTTTGTCTGCCTCTTTAGCCCTTTCACTCCAAATTCAGTTGCACACCTCAGGGAAGGGTCATTTGTTATCTTTCCCATTCCCCTTGGGAACTGGTGCTTTTGATTTCTTTCCCTCAGACTTTTGAGCTAACCCAGGGTAGTCTGACGACTTTTCTAAAAGAGATAAGCAAAACTCTTTTGCAAACATCTTTTCCAAAGCCTTTCTCTATCCTCTGCACAGAAGGCACCCCAAGTTAAAAGGGGAAAGAAGCCTTGTGCCTGGTATATTGTTGTTTTTCCAGGCACTTTTGAATTTATATTGTGTGAAACACTCTTGAAATGGCCTGTGCATTGTCACGCTTCTGGGGTGCAGGCACCAGGTATAGGGGCAGGCATCAAAGCCAGGCAAGGATGAGCACACAGACCGTGCCTCGTGTCCCTAACAGGGATCCTTTTTCTTCCCCTGCTTGTTAGACCATGGTCTTCCAGTGCCACCTCCTGCTGCCGGCACACGGTGCTTTCCTCAGTGTGTGGTGAGGGCAACAGTCTCCTCTAAAGCCTTTTCCCCTTCTCTGGGCAGGTACAAGGCACAGAACTGCCCCGACAACAGCGAAAAGTTAACCATCCTCAACAACTCCCCCATGGAGGCAGAGGTCCATTTCTCCTTTGAGAGTGACAGCAAAGGAGAGACATTCCTTTTGGACCCTCCCAGCATGAGGCTGCAGCCCAAAGAGAAGAAGGTAGGAGGTGAGAAGGTAGGGCAGGCACCGCAGAAGTGCCGTTCCTCCTGCTCACAGAGGGCTCTTTGTATTTCTGTTTGTGGGGACGGGTTCAGAAGCTGAGTGTTTGGGCGTACCCGACTTCTGCTGGCCTCCTGGAAGACAGTCTCGTCTGCTGGATCAAGGACAACCCGGAGCCAGTGGTCTTCTGAATGTGCTGCGAAGGGGTGCATGTGAAGCTGGGGGTCAGTCCCCAGGAGCTGCAGTTCAACAAGCTGCTTCTGCACAGGTCAGTCATCCCACGGCTGAGGGCACTCCAAGGCTTGTGACAAAGAGAAGAGGTTTGACTCTGGTTCCAGAGGCTCAGATGGAGCTGCTTCAAGCCACATTCAGTGGCCAGGCTGGTGTGACCACCGAGCACTGACACTGAGTGTCTTCCTGTCTCTGCAGGACTGACACCCAGACCCTGGTCCTGAGAAACGACAGCCCACTGCCCATGGCATGGCATCTCAGTGGGCTGGACGACCTTGGAGATGACTTCTGTGCATCACAAGGCAGGGGCATCGTTGGCCCCCGCACAGACTTTGAAGTGAAACTGGATTTCAAGGCCGAGAAGATTGGCATCACAAATAAGATCATCCGACTGGAGGTGAGAGGGACTTGGGCCTTCCTGGCAGAGCAGGGCAGAGCAAGCAGCCGTGTGCTCTTAGGGATAGAGTCAGGAAGAGCTGCACCTGACAGACACAGGGGTGCTGAAGCCCCAACTTCTGCCTCTGCGCTGGGTTGGCCGGGTGCCCAGGCTCTGCATCCGGAGCCTGTAGCACAGCCACCTTGCTGCTGTGCAGGCTTGAAGGCTGTTGTTTGGTTGTACAGACCAGCATTCGCTCTGGACCCTTTCTGGGAGTTTGTTCCCTGTGGTTTAGAGGCTGCATTTCAGCAAGCATGCGAGGTCATTGAAGAGGAGGGTGTTAATTGTCAATGCCACTTGCTCTGGGACACCTCACATTTCTTGTGGTTGTGTTTACAGCCCTGGGCCTCTCAAGGGTGCTTTAGCAGCACCATTCCCTGCTGTGGGAGTGCAGAATTGGGCTGATAAGGTTTCCTACTGCAGCAGAATCCCCCTCACCAGGGCAGCCTGTGAGATGAAGAGGTTAAGAAAACTGCCAGCCCGCTACCCCTCCGTAACACCGCTGGGGACCACGGCTGCCGGCAGCGCGAGGGAAAACAGACCCCCCCGGGCCGCTGCGCCGGGGCCCGCGGCCGAACGGCCGCCGCCGGCGCATGCGTGGTTGTACCGCTCAGAGCCGGCGCCTGGAACCGCAGCTGTTACCAGTCTGCTGGCACCCAGGGCCGCGGCCGCTGGGGCCGCAGCACGGCTGCCGCTGCCCGCGCGGGCACAGATGGACTCGGCAGCGCCGAAGCCGGACACGGCACCACCCCGCAGGCACCCGCAGCGGGCGGACCAGACACAGCTGCGCAGGCACCCGGGGCCGGGTACACAGGCGCGGTACCGTCCGGAGGAGACCTAGGAAGCTCCTTAAGATGAAATCCAGCCACTGTGGTCATAAAATCGTCTCCCGGGCCATCAGCAGCACATCCATGCCGTAGCTGTCCTTGATCATCTTGGACAAGTGCTGCCGAGTCGCTAGCAGTGCGTCCATTTTGGCGGGGCCGCTTGGCTGCCCCCGACCCCGCTCCGCAACCTCCGCTCCCGCTTCGGCTCCCTTCGGCTCCGCCCGGCCCCTCTTCTTTAGCACTCTAATGTCCTCCCAGGCAAAGCAGCCTTTCTCCCAGTCCGAAAACACAAAAGTAACAAGCGACATAACTTAGCTTCGTCGGTCTAACACCAAAACGCCGTAACAAAGCTTTCCAAGCGATAAACACACGCCTGTCGTTTGCACACATGGTCTGCCCCATGGTGACTTAGAAAAATTCTCAGGAGCTCACCTGCGCCTGACAAGTGCCAAATGCACTCAGGCCTCCCCGGCAACTCGTGCCTTCCAAGTGCAGCAGAAACACTCGTGTGCAGGTGTAGGGAAAATCGGACCCGGGTCCTGCAGCGCACCCCGCTGCTATACAGCTCCTGAGCACCGAGACCCCGCTGCACCTGGCCCTGCAGCTCACCTGCCTCCGGCCGTGATACCCCTACGACCCAGGCAATAGTCGACAGTCTTTTTTCTGTTCGTCTGGTCCTCACATGGGGCACCAACTGTCGCTGGGTATCTGTCGAAGGGGTCCCGGTCCAAGGGGGGAAGAAGACACACAACACACACGAGGATGGTGAGACAAAGGGATGTCTGCCTGCTCAGAGCAGCAGGCAGCCTTTTATTAGGTTTTTCTACTTCTACTTTCACACACATAACATAAACATCTTTCTACAAAAATACTAAGGAATGTGCACCTGCACACAGCTCAAGGCTGTGTCCATGGGAACTATCTGGTTGGCTTCACTGCTCCCATGAAAAACGGCCTAACACTCCACAATACTCCAAAGTCCTCAGACTTCAGTTGTGGGGCTGTGACTTCCCCCCACATTGTGCTGTCCAACTCTCAGGGCCGCTTCCATGGGAATAGGCAGCCACCTCCACCTTTCTCAGGGGAACGGTCTTACTCCCCTCAATGCCTCCAGCTCTTCTGCTTCCAGGGGGCCCAGGGGTTTCATGGGCCTACCATCTCCCCCCACACAGAGAGACAGGCAGTGAGGTACAACTCAGAGAGGAGGAGGAGGAGGTCTATGCCTGCTGCTGGAGGAACCTGTGCCGCATGCAGAGATCCTTGGGGGAAGCTGCAGATGCCCTAAGTTGGCAGAGTGTAGTGCAAGATCCAAGCTGGTCTTAGCTAATGCACTTGGAATGACAGTGGCTGGTGTCCTGAGACATCTGCATTTACTGACCCGCTGTGAGCCCAACGTGTGCGATGGCTGACTCGCTCTTCCTGTTTGTCTCTCCTGGCAGCTGATGACTGCTACAAGGGAGTGGTGTTTGATGGCCTGGAGACCCTCTTTGCGAGCAGCCTGGCATCTTCTCTCCTGTGTGTGCTCAAAGCTGTCAGCTATCGCCCTCATATCCACGTTGTGAACATCTTCCAGGATTCTGAGTTTTGGAAAGGCAGGCGGATAGTTGCAAGACAGAAGAAGGCAGCTAAAAAACAGCAGAAAGGTGAGATATCTCCATCCCTCTCAAATCTTTCTCAAGCCCTCACCCTTAGCTGTGTGTATCTGGGTTTGCAGCAGAGCTTGTAAGAAATCTTTTTATTGATCCTTCTGCCTCAGTGTAGCCAGCACTCAGCTCACAGCTTCTTTACATACAGCAGAGCTGAGGCTGTAAGACTCACCTTAATCTCCATCATTAAAGCTTGGGTGCAAGTGCAAGCTGGCGTGGCTCAGTGACCAGCCCCCAGCCAGCTGTCCACAGCCGTGGTGCACCTGAGCCAGGCCACAGTTTGGGGGGCTGTCTGAATTTTGGAGCAGGGATGTGAGCTCCGCAGTGTCTCCTGGCAGGGTAAGAGGCTGGGTCAGGAAAGAGCTGTGAATCCTCATAGCTGACCCAGAGCCCCAAGCTCTGCTTGCAGTCACTAATGGCTTCTCTTGTGGTCTGTGCTGAAGCACGGGAGGAGGAAGAAGCTGCCCGGAGAAAAGAAAAACGTCTCTGGGATGTGGATGTGGACGAGTACGAAGCCCTCTCTGAGAAGCAGAAAGCTCTGCTTGATTACAAAATAGAGCAAATCAAGCGTGAGCGGAAGGAGAGGTAAGGAAGCCTCCCCTGGGTTACTCCTCAGGGTAGTGTCCCTGGAGGGTTTCTCTGCTCCAAGGACCTTGGTTGAGCTCAGAGGGGTTCAAGAGCAAAGGCCAGAAGCAGCACAAGGATGGCCAGGTCCAGGTCCCCGGTTCCCAAGAGAGGAAGGACCTTCCTCTGTTGAGATGAGAATGTCTTCTCTCCATTTTAGCCATGAGCCCTCTGGCTTAGACATGGCCTGTGGGGAGCTGGGCTCTGGCCTTGCCTTGCCACTGCCCACGGAAGTGTCTCAAAGTGTGTGATGTTGATTCTCATCTTCTTCATCATCCCCCTCCTTCACCAAACCCACAGGATTGTGGTGTGGGCTAGTGTGGGACACAGCTGAGCTGGCTTGCTTTCACCCCAGTCCTGCTCTAGATGAAGTCCTTGCAATGCTGATGTGCCAGGGCTTTCCTTAGGGTGGAGCACCATCCATAAAAGCTTAGGCTGCCCTTCAGCTGCAGCAGCAGGTGAACCCGGGAGAAGCTCTGGCCCAGCAAGGCAGCCCAGCTCAGGAGGACGCACAGGAAGAGGGTGGAGCTGGGAGGGGAAGCTGCTTAAAGCGAGCCTGTGTTTCAGCACTTCTCTCAGCCTAGGCTGATGTTTGTTGCACTGAGAGGAGATGGCCAGGGCTGCTTCAAATCAGTTCCCAGGACAGACAGCACAAGTGTGCCCTGGTCACAGCTGTGTTCCAGCAGGAAACCTGGTGATTCAGAGCCTGATTTGCAGGAGGGGAGTTCCTGCAGCCTTTGCTTTCTGATTGCTATGATTATTCTCATTAATGAGCAGGCTCTGCCCAGGCAGAAGGGGGAAGAAGGAGCCAAGTAAGCATTGGAGGAGGGATAAGTAGGTGTTAGCAATTCATGGGCAGGTTTAAACTGGGAAACCAAGAGAGGGGGGACTTCAGTCATCCCTGCAGAGAGATGGTGGATCAGCCTTTGGCAGCGTGCTGGAGGTGTCCGGGTGAACCGCAGGGGAGAAGCTGCACAGTTGATACCTTCTGATGGCAAAGCTTAGGTTTGGCTGGCCCAGGAGGTCGCCTCTAAGCCTTCCTCACTTGGGATATTCCCAAGCTGTCTGGGTTGAGGAAGGTCCACGGAGATGGTCTAACAGTTCTGCCTGGCCTCAGGGTCGAGGAGTGAAGGGCAGAACCAGCTGGGATTACAGCGAGCCCAGGTTTCTGGTGGTGACTCTCGGGGGTGTTTTCTCTTTGGCTTGCAGAAGGGAGCTGGAGCAGCTGGCTCGAGAGCATAAGGAAAGCAAAAAGGCGTCGTCATGAGCCTCAGAGAAGCAAGATAAGCTGCAGAAGAAGAAGAATGGCCGCTCGGAGAAGTTTAAGGTACCCGTGAGAGAGCAGCAGCGGGAAACCAAAAAACCAGAGGTCCAGACAAAGAGCAGAAAAGCAGCAGCAAAACAACAGCAGCAGGAAACCAAAATCCCAGAGGTCCCGAGTAAGCGGGACAGGATCTTGGACCTGAGGTTTAACATCTATGAGTCTTCACAGAACAGGATCAGAGATATTCTGTCATCCTGGGACAGGGTTCAGGGTATCATGAACCAAGTGCAAGACAAGTCCCAGTCTTCCCCTAAACACAAAGACAAGAAGAAGAGCAGTAAGTCTCTGGAGAAGCCCGAGAAAAATCCTCTGAAAAAACATGGCAGCCACAAGAGTCTTCAGCAGGAAGGGGAAGTTGCAGAAGGCTCAGTCGGAAGCCGGGGTGCCGGAGTGCCCTGCTTGGACTTCCACGTCACGCGTCGTGAAAAGGTGTTTGAGAAGATCCTGAAGAGCAAGAAGCTGCCACCAGCAAAGCAGGTAAAAGCCTGCAGGGCTCAGATGCTGAACTTGCCGTGGTCTGGGGCCCTGGAACAGTGTGTCCCCCAGGTGATAACAACACAGAGCCTTGTCGAGGCACTGATGATGTTCCACAATAGCTCCGCAGTATCTCTGTGGATGGGGAGGTTCTCAGCCTCCCTCAGATGTGTGGAAAGTGGGAGTGCTCTGTGTCCAAGCATTCCATCTGTTTAGAGAGTTTCTCAGTCTGGAAATCATTAAAAATGGTCCCAGGGCAGAGCAGCTCCCAGGCATTGTTCTCTTCAGCTGAGTCGCTTGGGAGAGGTTTCTCTCTTGGTCCCACTGTAGGTCCTGCCTCTGCTCTGGAGCCTGCTCACCCATGGGACATAAAAAAAGTGCTTGTACTCCGTGTAAATCAAAAACTCCACTGCCAAAAGCTCGGGGCCTTTAGGGAAGGAGTGTGAGGATGAAGGTGACAGGAGTATAAACAGGCTTTTCTCTTCTGTTTTAGATCCTGCACTATCTGGGACTGGGACCTCCCATTCCCCCTGGCTCTCTTTTCTCCATGGTTCCCTACCCAGAGGAGGACAGAGTCCCCACAGCAACAGAAGACCTCAGACACTTCATCCTTGTTGAACCTGAGGGTGCTGCTGCAGAAGATGATGTGGTGGGTACTCCTTTTGTGCCTTCAGTGAGGGTGCCAGGGCAGGGAACAGGTTGGATGGAAAAGGGTCACCGTGGAGGGGCAGTGAAGATGTGATGGGGCCCCATGTCTGCAGGCATCCTTTCCACCAGGGATGAGAGAAAAGAGACGGCTCTGCTGGAGACACAGAGCAGTTCTGTAAGACAACAGGAAAAAAATCGCTTAAACCCATCAACCCAAGGGTCCTCGGTGGGGAGAGGGTACTGGGTAAGGAGGGGTGTCTGAGGCAAGACAAAGGCCAATAAGGAAGACCAAGTTCATGGGCAGATAGTAATTATTTATTCTCTCTCCTGTTGACTAACAAACCTCCCATTCTGCTTTCCAGGAGGGGCAGGTCTCACCTCTCTCTCCCTTTTCTCTCTCCCCTTATGCCAAGGCCCCAGAGGCAGAGGCACAGGACCACTTGAAGGAGGGGAAAGCCACAAGCAGACACAAGTCTAGGAAGGAAAAGCCAGACTCCCCCCAGAGCCTGAAAAGTCTCCGGCATCACTCCCCAAAAACACCCCGAAGTTCACCTGAACCAATGAAAAGCCGACTAAAGAGGGACTCAACCCTCGAGAGACCTGCCAGGTGAGCTGCAGGGGAGGAGGTGATCCCTGTGCTTCACGCTCATCTTGCCAAACGAGGTCCGTCGTCCTCAGCTCTGCAGCGACCCTCTGCCAGTGCCTCCATGGGATGGCGAGTGCACAGCCCTCCTCCTTGTCTCGTTTGCCCCTTAGCAATGTCTGAAGCTTCCCTTTTAACTGCCAGGCTGAGAAGGTTCCGCTGGATCGTTCCTGCCCACGGCGAGGTGGAACTGAAGATCCGCTTCAGCACCACAGTGCCAGGGCAGTTTGACCAGATGATGAACTTTGAGATCCTGGGGTCAAAGCGCCTGTACCAGTTGCCCTGCAGTGCCACTGCCCTGTACCCCAGCATCAGCCAGAACCCACGGTAAGGCTGGGTCACAGGAGCATCCCACACTGCACCCCCTGACCTCAGAGCCAGGGCTGCCCCTTGTGACCTCCTGGCTGGGGCAGATGGTGCTGCCTGAGTCACCCAGCATCTCTTCCTCTGCTGGGAGCTGGGAGGCTGAACTGGTACCTCAGCCACCAGGAGGGGTGATGGCTTTCTGACTAGATTTCCTACTTGCAGCATCTCAGAGCTCCTCATTCCTCATTATTTCTCTGCCCAGGCTGGTGTTTCCTCGCTGGAGGAAGAGCAAGGAGAAGGAGGACATCATCTCCAAGGAATATGTCATGAGCACAAAGCAGTTCCACTTTGGACCGCTGCTTTGTGGCAAGTCAAGAGAGTGGTATGTGCTCCCTGCTCCCAAGTGAGCATCCCTGTGTGCTGCCTGTACCGAGATGTTGGGAGGGGATCTCCAGGGCCTTGTGCTCTCCTGGACACACTTGCAGACCCACTGTCCCAGTGGCACAATGCAGGGCAGTCCCGGGCAGAGACCTGGCAGACACATGGGCTTGAGGGAGCACAGATGTGTGAGCATGAGCAGATAACAGGCAAATGAGCCTTGGAGGAGCTGCTTTGCCAACCTGGTGGGTGCCCTGGTGTCCAGAGCCACCAGAGCTGCTGCTGCCAGCCCGAAGGTGACTTGGGGGCAACCGGTGTCCCCCTCCACATCTCAGCTCCACCCCTTAGGAAATGAAGTTTATGGTGCTTTTTCAAGTGCTTTGAGCTCTACAGGTAGATTAAATGAGCAAGTATTCTCTAGATGGTTTTGTAAACCTTTCATTAATCTCTAATAGTAGTGAGGTTTTGTGATTTGACCTGCCAATATGTGTGTGAGTCAGAGGGGAACCTACAGCAGGAATTACGTTTTCCCGAGATTCCATTGCATCCGCAGTGCTGGAAAAAGTCTGCCTAAAAATATTGTCATTGTAGCTGTTGGCATATTTCTGTTTTTAATGTCACTCTTCTTTTTATTTTTTTAATAATATTTGAAGTTAAGTTCTTGTCTCCATGGGAGCTCTGGAAGGCCAGGCTGATGGATGGTCTGGGATTTTTGTCTGCCTCTTTAGCCCTTTCACTCCAAATTCAGTTGCACACCTCAGGGAAGGGTCATTTGTTATCTTTCCCATTCCCCTTGGGAACTGGTGCTTTTGATTTCTTTCCCTCAGACTTTTGAGCTAACCCAGGGTAGTCTGACGACTTTTCTAAAAGAGATAAGCAAAACTCTTTTGCAAACATCTTTTCCAAAGCCTTTCTCTATCCTCTGCACGGAAGGCACCCCAAGTTAAAAGGGGAAAGAAGCCTTGTGCCTGGTATATTGTTGTTTTTCCAGGCACTTTTGAATTTATATTGTGTGAAACACTCTTGAAATGGCCTGTGCATTGTCACGCTTCTGGGGTGCAGGCACCAGGTATAGGGGCAGGCATCAAAGCCAGGCAAGGATGAGCACACAGACCGTGCCTCGTGTCCCTAACAGGGATCCTTTTTCTTCCCCTGTTTGTTAGACCATGGTCTTCCAGTGCCACCTCCTGCTGCCGGCACACGGTGCTTTCCTCAGTGTGTGGTGAGGGCAACAGTCTCCTCTGCAGCCTTTTCCCCTTCTCTGGGCAGGTACAAGGCACAGAACTGCCCCGACAACAGCGAAAAGTTAACCATCCTCAACAACTCCCCCATGGAGGCAGAGGTCCATTTCTCCTTTGAGAGTGACAGCAAAGGAGAGACATTCCTTTTGGACCCTCCCAGCATGAGGCTGCAGCCCAAAGAGAAGAAGGTAGGAGGTGAGAAGGTAGGGCAGGCACCGCAGAAGTGCCGTTCCTCCTGCTCACAGAGGGCTCTTTGTATTTCTGTTTGTGGGGACGGGTTCAGAAGCTGAGTGTTTGGGCGTACCCGACTTCTGCTGGCCTCCTGGAAGACAGTCTCGGATCAAGGATCCTGCTGGATCAAGGACAACCCGGAGCCAGTGGTCTTCTGACTGTGCTGCAGAGGGGTGCAGGTGAAGCTGAGGGTCAGCCCCCAGGAGCTGCAGTTCAACAAGCTGCTTCTGCACAGGTCAGTCATCCCACGGCTGAGGGCACTCCAAGGCTCGTGACAAAGAGAAGAGGTTTGACTCTGGTTCCAGAGGCTCAGATGGAGCTGCTTCAAGCCACATTCAGTGGCCAGGCTGGTGTGACCAGCGAGCACTGACACTGAGTGTCTTCCTGTCTCTGCAGGACTGACACCCAGACCCTGGTCCTGAGAAACGACAGCCCACTGCCCATGGCATGGCATCTCAGTGGGCTGGACGACCTTGGAGATGAGTTTTCTGTGTCACAAGGCAGGAGCATCGTTGGTCCCCACACAGACTTTGAAGTGAAGCTGGATTTCAAGGCCGAGAAGATTGGCATCACAAATAAGATCATCCGACTGGAGGTGAGAGGGACTTGGGCCTTCCTGGCAGAGCAGGGCAGAGCATGCAGTCGTGTGCTACTAGGGATAGAGTCAGGAAGAGCTGCACCTGACAGACACA